ATCCATCTTATTTTCATGTATCTAGGATGATTATCAGGAAGTTTAGAAGAAGCAAGATTAGGAACTATTGGGTTCAGATAGGTTTGGAGTTTAGTATGGAAGGATACGAATATGGATTGGGCTAAAGGAACTATTAAAATGAAATAATGAATTTCCAATATGTTTAAGATACATGATTATTCCTTGTTCAAAAGATCTTTCATTCATTCCTTTTCAGTTCACTCGTACGCTGTGTCCTTGTTATATTTGATGAACCTGTTCGCTGCGAATCCGAACGTACACTGTTTTTTTTTTTGTAATAGCCTGTTCGGAAAAAATTAATATTTTACGAAAAATAAATTATATAAAACATAATTAGGTTACGCTCTTAACAATAGAGGGGAAAAAACCGAAGAGTCGGAAAGCATAATGACGGAATATCTTTAACCTAATGAAGCTGCGATAAGATTCTCATTCCTTCCGAAACCATTAACACGAATAGCTTATCAGTCCCGATAATGCATTCAACAAAGATTATAAATTATAGTATCATCAAAAATTTCCGATACCTTCAAAATAAATTATAGTTGTTATTGCTTCTTCATGATTAGGAACTAGTTAAGAGCAGAGAAAAGAGGATTATTTGAAGTTGAAGGATGTCAATTATAAATTAGATAGCAAAAATAATTTTTGGCTATTTTATAAGGAAACAAAATATATTATTTTTTGCTTCTTCACTACTGAACGTAGGGAACCTTTGTATTAGAGCGAGAATTTTAGGGATGGTATAATGTAACATTATTGATTATTTCTGTTGAATTATGTATATATTTCCTTGTAACAATATTTATGACAGGACTAGGTATATAATAATATAAATTGGCAATAAGGCGCCATGTATAATATCGGTTTTTAAACTAATTCGTTCAGTTTATTTTATCTTGATAAAAATAATACAACTACAGAATACATGCAAATTACAGTTATACATTATTATTTATTTATTTAAACGTCTTAAGGAACATATATAAATCATTTATTTACTGTAGTTTTTTTTTCTTTCTAATTTTTTTTTATATTTTATCACTAAAATTGGTTACCTATAAAACTTATTTAGCGTTTCTTTCCGATTTTATTTAGTTATTAGTATGTTTTCTTTTTTTTGTACCAATATTATAATATTGTAACCATTTTACCCATCTTCTATCCTTAATATACCCTCCAAAACTATGTACATACTCATTTTATTACTTAGATTGTAGTTACTCTTTATTTTAATAGGCCATCTGGCCAGATTTATTGTCAATTGGTTTGAACAATATTGTTATTCTTAAGGGACCTAGTCCCAGAATAAAGATGTATTTCTATTTCTATTTATACTTTCCACCTTCCTATGCCACTATGGCAATACGGGTGTTTGCGATAGTGCGTTATTAGGCATGAATGCTTAATAACACACTACTACTAGTTAACATGATATGAACTCCTCGAGCAGTTCTTCTCTTCTATCTTCTTCCTTCTTGTTTCGGCCTAGCTTCCAGAATCTGGAGGTCTTCCTAGCGCTTGTCCTCTTCTTCTGCAGGCACCAATATGGAAGTGAGCGGGCCCCACCACCGTCTTCCATCCATATATGAAATCCTTAAACCGCGGGAAATTTTCCTCGCTGACTAACTGAGGAAACTCATTTTCAATGAGGACATAGATTCCCACGGCTCTTGTCATTGTCGCTCTTAACGTTTCAAATGCGGTGCAGGTCGTGACCACGTGCTCTACAGTTTCCGGAACACTACAGATCGGGCATAGATGATCTACATCAATGCCCAGTCCGTGAAGTTTAAGGTTAGTAAGGTACTGGGAAATCCAGTTGTCTGGGAGGATCCTTTGCCTGAATCCTCGACTGCGGGAAAGTAGTTCCTCAATGTACTCCCTTTTGGGGTTGCTACCCAGCGCCGGTTCCATACTTCAATTGTATCCTCCCGGAGTAACTTCTTTCATCTCTTAGGCGCTTCCATAATCCTCATCTGCAGATTGTCCGAAAGTACTGTAGAGCCTTCATGTTATAAGAATATTTCGTCACTTCTTCTAGCAGGAGGCAGTCGAGAGGCACCACTCCCGCTAGGACCTGTACCGCTTCATACGAAGTTGTCCTATATGCTCTGGTGAAGCAGAGCTGTCCTCTGAGTTGAGGCTAGCCTTTTTTTTTGTCGTCGTGTGAGGTTACGGAACCAGAAGGGAGACGCATACCTCAGGATATCCTCCACAACACCTTTATATATCGTGAGTGTGGATACCTAAGACCCCGGAATGCGCCCCCCACGCTAGTTAGACCGTTCATTGCTAGAGCCACCCTACCCGCCAGATATTCCAACTGTCACATTTAGGCCTAAACCTAACCTAACTCCTAACCTCACTTGGACGTACCCTCTGTCCTTCTATGTTCATTGTCATAGGGTGTGCCCTATCAATCTTTACAGTTATACAATTTGAGAAACGAGTAGTAGTAGTAGAAATTAAATGAACAGCTGTAAAATGGGGGTTGGTCCGCCGTCAGGCCTCCTCCCCCCCCCCCTCACTATTATCTATGGAATTATACAAAGAATTACTTAAAAGTAGTTTCTTTTGGTTTCCTTCATTTATCGAAATATCATTAGAAAAAACAAACTAGTGTCAGATTACAATTGGAATTCATACCGATAAATCTCTATTGTTCCGACACCGATAAAAGAAAACGTGGATAAAATAAAAATTCCCTTTTAATCTAAAAATACCGAGTTATTATTATCCGATAAATGTTGGAGGAGAGGGTAGAGTTACAATATCGCATTTCGATGATAAAAGAAAGAATATAAAAATATTGTACGAGGATATGAACTGGTTGCAAATCGACCTAGACCTTTCCATTAAAAAATCGACAACACAGACCCAATGTCAAGGTTTGCAAGTTATGAATAATGTTCGCGGCTTTAAGCTACGGAATATGAAATGTTTCTGATTAGTTCGAATATGGTCTTGCAAGGTCCATGTTCCCTAAATGACAGCCGGCGATGAATTGTAAAATATTATTTAACTATTGAACTTAGAAGTCCGACTCGTCACTGAAATACAAGTGAAACTCCTAGCTGAACACACCTCCCTGAAGAAGACCTGCAAAGTCGGGTCGAAACGTTGGCTTTTAATAAAATAGTTTTGTCACTATTTTACCACCGCCACGGACCATCTCCTTCCTTTAATTAATTGTCTAATTTATTTATCTTTTTATGTGTATTTTATTTTATTCCACCAATTTAATACTTTGATATTGTTATTATTTTATTAACCGGTATTATTTTTTTAATTACTAATTTTTTATTTTTTATTTTTTTTGTGGTGAAAATTAGCAATTTTTCTTATCGGATAGGAAAATACAAATTAGTTATTTGTGGAAGTAAAAAATTATTCATTTATATTTCGGCTTCATTTATATATATTTTACTGATCGTTGAACCAGGTTAGCAAATATGTTATAAAACGTAATTTAGTCTCTGTATTAAAGATTATGTTACAGATAGTACTTTAATAAGTTAGCTTTGCTCAATGCCAATTCGTGGTCGATTCATAACTCAGTCGTTTACTCTTCAAGGTTTACGGATACTGCTTGACGTAACATAAGCGTCTAAGAGATACATAATATTTAAGTGTTGATTACTTAACTGCAAGATATGCTTTTCACATTTGAGCAGGAAAGTAACTATATAGAAATAGAAAAATCATCTTTATTCTGGGACTAGGTCTCTTTAGAATAACAGTATTGTTCATATATATTAACTACAAATCTGGTCAAAAGACTTATTACAATGAATAATGACAAAATACATGTAATACATTAAGTATTAATTAAGCTCTTAGGATAAATTAACGAGGACAGTTGGGTAATAGGGGTTCAGTACTACAATATTGGAGCTAAAATAATTGCATAATAATCACTGAATGAAATTAGAAAGGAAAGTAAAATCTATTTTATAGGTAAAGCATTGTAGTGATGGAATATAAAAATTAAAAAAAATAATAATAACTGTTAATATGTAGGGAAAGAAATTGTAAAAACTAAAAAAAAAAAATATATATAAAAAAACAAATAATGATATACATATGTTCCCTAAGATATTTAAGTGATTATGCGTAAAGATTAGGAGAAGAGAAAATAAAATAAAGTATATATATATACACATAGCGAGAATTATGTTGAAGATAATTAGAAATAAAATATATTTCACTGAAATACATTCCATGAATAACAAATTAGAACTTAAGAAAAACAAATTTTATCTACTCACAATGCTTAGTGAGTGGTGATGAAAATTCACGTTCAACACAGAATGAAACCATATAAAATAAGAGAAAAAAAATAATGTCTAAAGAAAATTAAATCCTTATAACATAGTATGTATTTAACCAGCGTCTGATTGCATTGTGAAGAGGAATTGGAATAAGAGGGTTTTAAAGGTGGATAAGGATGATGCATGGCGGATTTTTAGTGGGAATTCCAGAATGCAGTGGAACGGACAACGAAGGAATGTTTAAATGATGCAGATCTGTGGAAAGGAGTGTAAAGGTCAGAAGGACGAGATCTTGTGGAGAGGGTGTTCATAGATGATTTGAATTGTAGGAGATTGTATGCTTAGGACGGACGATGACTATTGATTATTTGGTAAAGGAATGTGCCTAGGAAATATTTTCTTCGGAAGGAAGGGAAGAGCCATCCTAATTCAGCATAGTGGTGCGAAACACGGGAATACCTCAGGGCCCCTGTGACAAATCTTACGAAGGCATTCATAATTCTTTTCAGTCTCTCCCCGAGTTCTGCCGAGAGGCCACCGTACACCACGCAGCCGTAATCAAGGTGGGGGAAGATGAGGGAAGTTACTAGGAGTCTACGTGTGGAGATGGGTAGGAGATGGCGGAAGCGATGGAATAGTTTCAAGGTACCAATTGACTGTCGGGTAATGTGAGCAATATGGTGTTTCCAGGATAGGGTTTGGTCTATGAAAATGCCTAGGTTTTTTACTGAGGAGGTGAAGGTAATGGGATGGTCATTTAGGTACAGTATAGGTATGTTGGTATTGGCTCTGAGAAGGGGTTTGGAACCAATGACAATGGCTTGAGTTTTTGCAGCGTTTAACCTTAACCCATTTAAGTTTGCCCAGGCACTGATCCGATTCAAGTCTTCTTGAATTTTGGCAAACGCTTCATGCAACTCTGAGGGATGGAAGGAAAGGTAGATTTGGGAGTCATCGGCGTAAAGGTGATGGGAGCAGTGAAGGATTGAATTATGGATGTCATTGATATAAGAACTAAAAAGGAGGGGAGATATGCTAGAGCCCTGGGCCACTCCTGCGGACAAAGTAAAATAGGAAGACAAGGGTTGATTAGGAATAGCGACAGCTTGTGAGCGTTGGGAGAGGAATGATTGAAACCATAGGATAGAACTATGGGAAAAGGATAATGATTTTAATTTGGAAAAGAGAATGAAATGGTTGATGGAATCAAAGGCTTTGGAAAAGTCAATGAGTATAAGGACAGTTAGTTTTTTGTCATCAATGTCATATAATATATAATGTCACACAGAGATAAAAAAAAAAAATTCATAAAATAATAGCTTCAAATATATATATTTTTTGATTTGCTAAGGAGATCATGTAATTATTAATTTTGTTTTACACTATGTTACTAAGTTAAATGAATATAAAAAAATAATCTCGAAAATAAAACATCAAGGATTACCAAAAAAAAAAATATATATATACCTTTAAATAAATTTTGATTACAAAAAATCAGAGACGAAGAATATCGATCAAGTACAAAAAACGCATTGAGATTTTCGAAAATATTGCCTTGAATAATTTCGAGAAGCAGATTCGACTGTAGAATTAAGTGAGGTTTAAGAGGTGTGGGTACTAAATAAAATTAATATTGATGTTATGAAATATTTTATTATGATTTCATACATATTTTCCTCTTTTTTTTTTTTTTTTTTTTTATCCTCTCTAAGGAATATGTTGCAAGTATTCTATAAGTACTCAGTTATGTATGTATATATATATATATATACGATTGGAATGTTTGACCTCTCTTTACCTTTAGGTATTCTAAGGTGAGATTTTTCATACATATTTACTTATCACCTTCAATATTTACCCTTCCTCTATCCCTACAACATCTGGCTTACCACTTAGGAGTGGAGACTTTCAGTATGTTTACTAAAATACCCTCACTAGTCCAAACAATATCCCGAAGTTAAAAATTGTGTCCCCGCCATTCCCTTCTATATCTTCTTTTCGAGCATTCATTTACTGGACTATGGTGTCTCCCGAAACATAAACTGAGGCATTGCGGTAGGTCTCACCGCAAAGTATTAAGCATTAAAGTAATCTTCATCGAAGGCTACGTTAAGACTTCTTATTCCTTCATTTATTCATATAATTTCATCGTTCTTAGGGATTAATTATAATAAATGGACATATTATTAATAGTAATGGGCAATATAATCCACTCCAACGTAATATGTGTCACCCCGACACATTACCCACAAGGTCTCCCCTCCAATATAGGTCGAAGATAAATCTTGTTGGCCACACGACACTCTCCTGTAATACGAGCTTTAATGAAAACCTCTGACCTGGTTCGGATTTTATAAAACATTTGGTGACCGGAGCCGCGATGGAAAACCTAATAAAGCAGAACGACCCTGCACAAACAAATCAGTTTTCTATTTTGTGAAGAACTCCTGGAATTGAATTAGCTGGAGAACTTATCACTCCGCATATAGTACTCTCGGTGTAACCTTAGTGCCGAATCGTTTGTTGGAGGGGAGGGGGCAAATTTATCTGACAATACTGGGATTATTTCAGCATACTAATATATTTCCCTTTTAATGTATAGATAAAGCCTTTAAAACAAAAGTAAATCCATTGATATAAAAACAAAATAATAAGATGAGTGCTTTAGACCACACGATAGAAGTGCAAACATCAATAAGGCGAGATTAATAATATAAAATATGAATTTTAAATAATTGCTCATTATAAAGAGGAAATGCTGAACATTTCGCTCGCTTACAGTGTGCAGGTCCAATTTTTAATTTCTGAGATATTTTATTCTATATCTTCCATTAAACTCGTTATAGTTAGGTTTCCGACTTTAATTTTTTCCTTTTCGCCTCTCTAAAATGGCGTTATGTTAAGATACAATTTTGAATAACAGCCCATTACAGAGAGGATGAAATGCTGAACAATTTCCTCGCGTACAGTATGCAGGTCCAATTTTTGGTTACTGAGATATTTCAATCCATATCTTCAATAAAACTCGTAATCGTTTAGTTTTCAATAATAATTTTTCTTTTCGCCTTCCTAACTCGGTAATGCTGCCCAAAATCGGTCTTGGTCTTGCACTTTGCAAGAATAAGACCAGAACTGGTAAAATAATCGATTTTTTGAATAAACATTAAGGCAAAATATTTACTAATACTTGACAATCTTAATTACTATAAGTTAATAATTGATGTAGTCAATTTACTTTTGCATTTAACTCCTCTAAATTTTCATTCGGGCTTAGTTAGATTTCTTCCATATAAAAAATTACAGTAATATCTCTATAGTGATAAGCTAATAAGTAACTGCAAGACTGTTGCGAAACTCTTGCGAAAGACCAAGACTCTTCTCGTTCTCGCATTTGGGCAACACTATAACACGGCATCGCGTTTAGATACAATTTTGAATAATATCTCAATATAAAGAGGATGAAATGATGGAACATTTTTGCGATAACAATATGCAGGTCCGATTTTTTATTTTTTGAGATATTTTAATCCATAATAAAAAATACTTCAATTAGTCGACTCCAGCCGATATTACCCGAGTGTTACACATCGGAAATCTGACGGCTCAATGTAATTTACTTTCCACAAAAACTTAATAAACGAGATGGAATTAGAATGAAATAGTTATAAAATGTTATAATTCTTACAAACACTAAATTATTTTACTCTAGTAATAAAAGTATTAAATAAAAAAAAATACTTTAAAATTTTACTGTTTATATATTACTGTAATTAATAATTATAAATGACGAATAATAATGAAGCACTTATGCCGGAAATTTACAACTTACATAATTATCGAACTTTGACATAACTCTTAATTAATCTTATCTCTTACACCATTATCATAATATATTGACTGATAAGAAGAAAATAGATAAGAATATCAAGAAATCATCATTAATTTAATATAAAACATATTACTAAGAATTTATGTAGTAATAATAGATAGTGTGTATATCATATTTAGGTATTATTCTTCGATGAAATTAATTGAGTTAATTAACATAATTAAGTCGGACGATGTATAGTAATTACTAGTAATTTGATAATTTTTTCTAAATCTCACTAATTAAAGAATCTAATCCAAAAAAAAGTCTTGAAATAGTTAAAATCGCACTCTTCTCCTTTTGCCCAAAACCACTGTCAAGTTTTAAATTTAGTCAAACGATGAGAGAAAAGCTATTCAAATTCGTAAAATAATTAAAAATTTTATAACAACATAAGAAAGGAAAATTCAATAACCGTTGGGGTGATAAAATGTTTACGTAAGTAAATATGCTTACTGATATATTTGGTAGAATAATTATTTAAGTAAAATAAAAATTACATTAAATAGTATAATTGCTGTGAAATGTGGAAGGCATTTATCATATGAAGTGAGGGTTAGGTTAACATATTTTTTTTTTATGATGTTTTAAAATTTTAGTTTTTATTCAAAACATTCATTTATATTGTATTTTATCTAATTACCTTCATCACTTTCCTAGTTAAGCTTGTTTATATTCACAATCATCATTAAATAGTATATTAAATACAAATTTCGGGTCAAGAATAAGGCATTTTATATACCTTGTTAGGAATAAGGGTTATTTTAACATTAATAGCAAGCTAAAGGGGGAAATGTCTGCTATTATTGTGCGCACACAGTGCATGTTTAACATGTACTGTCTTGGTTAAATCTGTTATACAATGTTGATGTGAGATGTTCGATCGATATATATTTCTATAATATGATTTTATATTTTTGGTTTGGATATTACCTTAATAAGCTAGATGTTTAGCAGTTTAGTTTTGTACTTTTAGTAGTTTACTGCTATTATTGAGCGTCATCTCATTGTTTTAGAGTTTGTTAATATTAGCATAATAAGTTTTAAAATTTTCTTGGGCTTTTGTTTCAATTAATTAATACAAATCAGTTTGGAACAAAGGCTATTTTATTTTAAATTGAAACGTCTAATTGAGGAAGTTAAAAAGACATTGTTGATAATAGTTAGCAATAGATAAACGAGTTTAGATAAATGATAAAAATAGCAACTTGTTCTGATGTCACTTACCTCTCTATCTAATATAAACAGTGACCTCTTTATAGCATTGTACACATTGTATACACATATCAGCATATGCAAATGGTTATATCATACAATACATGATTTCCTAGAAATATAATTAATCAAGCCTTAATAGTGTGATTCAAGAAACTGGTAGTGAGATCTGAAGAGGATATGAGTAGTCAGATACAAAAAAAAAAAAACTAAATAGACTAGGAATGGTACAATAATAATATTTAATTAAAAATATAGTTAACACTGCACAAAAATTGTAATAATAAAATCCACTAAAAAAATATTATAATTATGAGAGACAAGCTGCATGTAAAAAATATATTTACTATAATATGTTTGGCGAAGGAAATAATTTTTTGTGAAATAGATACCTTTCGCGTGTTTGACATTTTAATTTTTTTTTGTGTGTGTTTTTAGTTTTATAATTTGAAACTTGAGTCAAAATTTTCTTCCGTAACCTGATCAGAAATACAATATAGGTTACCGCAAATAATTCGTACACAGAGAAAAAAAAATTTCCTCAAAGTTTTTTAGTGGAAAAACAAAATAGAAGAAAATTCCAACATGCACCAGTTGCTTGGTTAACTTCATATTTATCAGATTAAAAAAAGTAAAAATTAAGCTGTGAGATTTCGAACTAAATTAACACTCAGTAACTTAAATGTATTTTGAAATCGTAATTTAGAACTGGTGGATATACGGGAGAGGAAAGGGAAGAGAAGGGATTTACCCCCCCCCCCCTCTAAAATGGTAAAATATAACCATGTTTTATGAAAAAAATTATCTATAAAAGTATTATTGTTCGTCTAATTACAGTTGATAGGACTTCAATAATAACTTAAGGACCATTTAATATAGGTAGTTATTTTCTTTCTTTCTTCCGAAGTAATTATCCTAATATATTTGTACAAAAAAAAATCTTTCGGGCTGAGGCCTCCACCAAAATTAAATCCTGGATCTGTCAGTGCGATTTAGTGCTGTCTTTTTGTCATTTTTTAAATTATTTATTTTTTTGTTTGTATTTAAAAAAAATTTAATTTATTTAATTAATTATTTTTTATTTATTATTAATATTTTGTTATGATTTTCTTTTTTGTTTATTATTAGAACTTTTTTTATTTATTGTTTTTATTTGGTTATTATAAAAATGAATTTATTATTATTAAAACAAAAAAAAATTGTATAATGGTGAGAATGCACACATAGAGCCATAATACTTATTCATTGCCTTTGGTGTAATAAAATTGTATTGTTATCATTAAAAAAAATTATAATAATAACATTTTGAAAAATTGACATAATTTATACGTAGTCGTTGGAAGTTCCTCCAACAAATTTATTGTTTTATTGCTATAACCTTAATTTTAAAGAAAATAAAAAATTTCGAAAAACACATTAAAGAGATCATAACATGTTTATAAAATTATAACGAAATTTAATGTTTTTTAAAAAGTGTACCAAACACATTTATCGTCAAACTGTATTTGTTATTAATTGAATATAACGCATCTACTACTACTAGAACGCCTATCTTAATTAAGTATAAATCACATTTGCAAAATGTGATTTATACTTATAAATAAAATACTTATAATAATTTATAATACTTATAAATAAAATACTGGCCAGAACACTAAGTTAATGAAAAATCAATAACTACGTACGTTATCGCAAACAGATAAATTCTTTAGTGAATCAGTTAACAAAAAAA